TTATCAACTGTGTACCAAATCAAATTCAACTGAAAGAATTCTGACGAGAAAAATATCTGTTCAAGGCAGTTTCTCTGGATCGAAAGTATAGCAAGCACGTTACCATTGTCTCAATTTCCCGCTTTAATTGAGTAATTAGACGAATTTACATTATAATTTATTCATTAGTTGATGATTTTTCCAATCCTTTTATTCGGAAATAGATAGTCCAGAAAATTATTGGTTGAACTCAACTCCATGTCATATCAACTTGACAGAAATATCTACATTGATTATTGTCCCACATTTGCCTACATTATTGTAGATTGTATCACTCGAATACTCGTAAGATTCTTTCGCAAATCACTACAAATGCTTTATATTGTAATATTTATAGTATTTAGTGGAGAAATGCTAGACTCGTAATTGAATTTTAATTCACAACACTTACTTTGAATGCCATGGTGTTTGCTTGATTCTCTACTGAATGATGAGTTTGGTTTGGATATCCTTTAATTTATATTAGTTTATCTGATCTTGGCCCCACCTCGAAATAAATCCTTTCACCGCGCCCAGCCAGAAATAAACCAATTACAATGTGCAAAATATTTGTTTTAGAGCGGATGCCAACTGTAGTTTCCTTATTAACAATTAGTTTGAATTTCCTCTATATTGATGATGGAGGGAAATATGGTTGAAAGGTCCCAGTTTTATTTTTCATTTCTCATCCTCTTCTCTACGAATCTGTGTTCTTGCGATTTTGTCTAAAATATTCAATTAACTTGAAAAATTCCTATTCTGCTGGCCCTGCATTCGACTATGCAGGACTCCCATCTCATGGTTGTGCAGTGTTGCCAATTGTTTTAGTATGTCTTTTACCAGAGTTGGCTGTGCTGCAACTGCATGAACAATTGCCAACCTATGGGTTCTACCTCCACTAACAATTTTAATCCGAACCTCACCGGTGATGAAAATGAAGGGTATCTTTTCCAGAAATTGTTTGGTCATGCCCAAAGGCAGTTTCAAAAAAGGTAGACACAACTATTCGAAAAAAGAGAAGAGCTGAAATACTGAGATACTGCCTAAAATCGCATTGCAAGAAAAACAAAACAGAAACAGAAGCTAGAGAACACTGATGAAAAAAATAAAGTGCTTTTGGAAAAATTCCTCAGTAGAATGAGAAGAACTACAAAAACATCTTGTATCTCAATATGAATATTCAATTTAAGATATGTTAATTTTATTTTCGTTTTGAATGATAAAACATGTTTTACCATTATTTCATTGTGAAATACGATAATTGCACCTATGAAGTGAGTTGAGCATATATCACTTTGAATATTGCTGGAGTTAAATCCACACCAAACCGTTATTTTCAACACCAAGTGATCATCTTCAAGAGAGAGATTAAACCAAATTAGATACAGTATTATCCGTGTTAGGAATCACACGTTAAAAGGTAAGACCTCGTTAGTCCTTAGCTCGCACAAGTTTCTCAACTTCTGAGAGTTGTCGTTCGTATGGGGGCGGCAGCTGATTAACGGAAAAACAGATTTTAAAACAGATTTTTTTTATTTACCCTAGATACCTCTGCTGAGTTCCTGCGTCTTAATTGTCTTAAATCATTTTTACATGGTGTCTTATCTACTAGTCTTAAATTAATTTTACAATATTGCCTTATCTAATAGTCAGGTAAATCCGATAATAAAATATTATTTCAACAAGCTATAAAAGTATACTAATAGTATACTTCTAGGTATTGGTACACTATCATTAAACATAATATTATTATGTTTACTCATTTCTACACTCTCATAGGCATCTAGATGCCTGGCTGTGTTAACTTGTCTAACTAATCTTAATGAAATAAAGTCTATGGAATGGTTTTGTTGCAAAATATGATGGTCGACTGCAGATTTTTCTGTGAACTGTCAGTAATATACTTGTAAGTGCTGGTTTCCTTCCTGATCACATCATATTGTAGCTTTCCCCATTGGCTCCTCAGTACCAAAACGTCAAGAAATGGAAGTTGTCCTTTATTTTTTAACTCATACGTGAATTTCATTGATGAAAATCTGTTATTTGAAAAGGAAACAAACTACTCAATATTTAATTTTTTGTTATCGAAAATCGTAAAAACATTATCCACATACCTCAGCTATATCCTATGAAAATACTATCATTTTTCTTTGGTTTTGATTTCGAATTTGCTCATGAACAGATTTGCCTGGTAAGGGAACAAGGGGTTACCAATAGCCGTTTCCTCCTGTTGTTTATGAAAGCAACCTTCTACCTGGAAACGGTATTGTTTCATACACACACAAAGTGAGAGAAACGAATTCATCAATTTCTTGCAGAATGATGTTTTTTGTATGTTGTATGAAGTTTTCAAATCTCTCAGTGAGCCACTTTGCTATTTGGTAGGTAGGAGATCCAATATCTGACATTGATTTTTCCAGTTTGTGGATTTTTGTGAGGCAATAAAGTTTTGACACCGTTGGGTTGGAAACTTGTAAGTTGAGTTTCAATTGAGGGGTAAGTATGTTATCGCATTTCTTAAGGAAGTCTTTTACTTCGGTAATCATCTTTGGTAACGAGCTCCTGGATAATTTTGCAGTGATGAGAATATTGGCCCTTTCGTAGTATTCTTACTTTGTCTTTCAATCGCTTGAGAAGTTTTTTTTGTTTTTATTATCGTTCATTGAATGTTTAGGTTTATCCACTATTGTGTTCCTGGAAATTTGATTCCTGACTTTCTCTCAAACAAATCCGTTCGAGGAATCAGGCATACATTGAATCGAACTTCCGACACTAGCAATGATATCTGTCTGTCTGTCTGTCTGTTTTTTCGTTAACCAGCTGTCGCACCCCTACGAACGACAACCCTCAGAAGTCGAAACTTGTGCGAGCTAAGGATTAACGAGGTCTTACCTTTTAACGTGTGATTCCTCAAGGACTTTCTCGGAAGACGGAATGCCAAATTTCAAACCATTGCTCAAAAGGTTGATCTCTTTTTTATCAACCGATTGTGGTGAATGCTTGTCAACAATGATTTCGGAGTGGCTTCTTTTTGGTTTATTCTCAGATATAAGGGTTTTGAGTTTCTTATTCAGAGTACACATTTTCTGATATAATTTGTTTCAATCATCCGAAACATTCGTTTCTGAAAGTCATCATTTTCTAATCTATACGTTGGTTTTTTAAATAGACTATAGCTATCACATCACAAGTATATATCACGTTCTTAACTGAAACAGTTGTGCTCTCAAGTGGAACTTTCCAGAAATATATCACCATAGAGACTTTCAGAAAGGAATATATTACTCACTCATCAGTATGCATACTGAAAATATAGTATTATATAAAAAAGGTTTAGATTATGCAAATAAGTTATTTTCAGAGTTACTGAAAGGAAAAACTCTCCCGAAATAACTACTTTCATATCAACATCACTTTCGGAACAACTATTTCCTCATGAACATTGACTTTTACAAAAAAAATGCTCTTCAGTTTATACTCCAAACATTCGTTAAGAAATTGAATCAGAATCAGAAATGATATTGTTCTTTGTTCACTTAGACCGTATTGGTTTCAACTTTGATTCACTGCTATTTTTTATAATTAGTTTAAGCCGTTAGTGTAAACAACAAAGTTTCAAAATTTGAACATGTAAACTATGGCGTTTCGCAGGGATCAGTACTGGGACCCCTGCTATTTATAATTTATGTTGATGACATCAGCAAATTCATGCAACTATTTAGCACCGAACTATTTGCTGACGATACCATATTATTTATATATTCAGATAGAGAACTACTATCAGAACTCACAAGAATATCCATAGAGGTAGATGATAGGGCTGAAAATTGGTTTTTGGCAAATGGTCTCAAACTAAATAGTGAAAAGTCACAGAGTCTTTATTTTTCAAGCAGCAACGCCACATCTAATGTTGACAGTGTTAAATTACTGGGTATATATTTGGACAGCACTCTCAGCTGGGTATGTCATATTGTACAGCTTAAAAGTAAATTATGTACTACACTTTTCAACATTCGTCAAATAAAAAATGTTGTCAGCTTTAGCATATAGCATTTTCATACTGGTACTGAAAAAATTTTCAAACTACAAAAAAAGCAATGAGAATTATTGCAGATGCCGGTTTTAGAGATCATTGCAAACCCATATTTATTCAGATGAAAATAATGCCTTTACCAAGTATATATTCGTTTAATGCGCTTATTGAAATAAAGAAGAAGTCGAACTGTCTCTTAAAACAGTCGGATATTCACACTTACAATACCAGGCGTGCCGATAAAATTCGAACGAATTATTTTCGATTGAATAAATCTCAAAAAAATAGTCTTGATTATACGCTTCATAATAACCTACCCAAGGAGTATAAAAATCTTAGTTTGTCCATGTTCAAGAAAGCTCTGAAAAAGTATTTTTTGAAACATTGTTTCTACTCTGTAGATGAATATCTGAAACACTTACGTGAATCTTCCATGACTTGATTACTTTGACAACTAAGTAACATTATCGAACTTCTATAATCTATATGTTTTTATTTTACATTACTTATATTCTAGTGCCCCGGCGTTTGAATTCAATTGATTGTATTGACTTGCTACAAACATTTTTGTATGTAACGTAGTGAAATAAATTCTATTCTATTCTATTCTAGTCTCAATTTTTAAATCAAATTTGGCTACTCAATCTTAACTATATATCATTCACGATGTTTAAACTCAAATTGAAACTCGTACCATACAATATTACTAGAAAAAATCAGGAACTCGTAACATTATTCAGCGTTAATGACAGATATTTATCAAGATCAATACCAGAGACCGACCGTAGTGTTTATCGGATTTGGAATAGCAAACCCACCAGCATGTATAAACCTTCTTTCTTCAGAAACCTTGCACGTTGATATTTTTTTGATATAAAAACGGTGAAAGGATTCGAGTTTTTTCCGGGCGGGGCAACATGTTTTTGCCAAAACTAATCATATAAATCTTTCGTTGTCTAATTGCAATTCATCATTCAGTTCACTGAGAAGCAAGCATAATGGCATTCAAAGTAAGTTTGGTGATTTTCCGTTACCTATCTGAGTATCAGTAGGTAATTATCTTTTTAGATATTTTTCGGAAAATTTATTGGAAAAATTGCTCAACTAGGCAATCCTGGATTTTTCTTTCTGAACTTTTCTACTGTACTCATTCGTTCATCAATTTCTCAATGCTTGCTTCCATAGAAATTCTTCTTTGTTTTTCATTTCACATATTCAAATATTCTGATCACAAATATTTTTACTTGTCATTTCTATAATTGATATTCCAATTTCACTCCTTGAACCAAAATTTTCGTATTTTCTCAACCAGAACTCAACTAGAGATTTCGCTGTATCCGTCCAATCCGATACTGTCAACAAACAAAGCCTAAGGAGAACATCTAGACTTCAATCGTTTCTTAAAAAAGGTATCTGCAGTGATATTAAACTACCCATTCATAACAATTTCGTGATATTTTTCAAATGTGTTCTAAATAATCTTAGATCACTTGATGATTTTTCACAGCCCATAAAGTCTTATAAATTATTATTTGCTGATGATCTGAAGATTTGAAATGTTGAAGGTTACGGAGATTGTTTGATAAGAACTCAGTGAAATTTTCCATTGGTGCTCTGGGAATTGCTTTCAACTCAATATTTAATGATTAAGTCATCATAAACATTTTAGAAAGCTTTCCAAAAAAGATCTGGTGAATTAATTTTTATCAAAAGAAACTTTTGTACCATACTTGAACAAAATAATTTCGTTGAATAGCAGAACATCCCATTTCTTGGTATGACATAGAATTAAAACAATGATTTTTCTTTCACTACCTCTGTGTTTGAAGTAAACTCGAATATGGAATACCCATTTGATATCCTATCTACTATGTGCATATGTGTCAATCAACTGTATACTGTTCCTGTAACTGGATGTGCTACATCTATTGAAATTCAGTGTTTCTCTTACATTTCAGTTCCTCGCTTTCGCTGCCTTCGTAGCTGTTGCCCAGGCTAGTGTGAGCCATGTTTCTCCAGTTCTTGCTGTTAGCTCCCACAATTCCGTCTCAAGTTACTCCACTGTCCAGCAACATAACCCAGCTATTCACGCCTACGCTGCCCCAGCTATTCACGCGTATGCTGCCCCAGCTGTCCACGCCTATGCTGCCCCTGCTGTCCATGCCTACGCTGCTCCTATCGCTAAGGCCGTCATTGCTGAGCCATCTGCCCCAGCCAACTACGATTTCGGGTACGGAGTAAACGACCCCTACACTGGAGACAGCAAAAGCCAGCACGAATCCCGTCGTGGTGATGTTGTCCAGGGAAGTTACTCCCTCATTGAATCCGATGGTACCAAACGTACTGTGGACTACTCCGCTGATGCCCACAATGGATTCAACGCCGTTGTCCACAAAGAACCTGCCGCAGTTGCAGTGAAAGCCGTAGCTCCTGTTGCAGTGAAAACTGTCGCCCCAGTTGTAGCTAAAGTAGCTGCACCTCTTGCTTTTGCTGCTCCAATTGCTCACTCTTACGCTGCCCCATCTCTTGTTCATGGGGCCGTCGCTCATGGTTATGCTGCCCCAGCTTTTGCTCACGGTTATGCCGCCCCAGCTTTTGCCCATGGATATGTTGCTCCAGCTATTGCTCATGGGTCAGTTGTGTCACATAACGTTTGGTGATTCAAAGTATCATATCGGCTTAGAACTTTGTAAATAATATATTTATATGGGACAAAATATAAAAAAATTCATGATGATATTTGTCTTACTCTATTTGAGTGGAGATTATAACAGAGGATAGTTGTCATTATCTAGAAATTATTTGGGTGGTGATGCTTTCTCTATGAGAGGTTTCGAATGAGTTCTCAAGTTCAATTCAGAGGAAATAAATTCTCCTAGTAATATGCTCAAAGAAAACACATTATTTTGAAAAAAAACTTTCGGACGAGTTGGTGTTTCTTGATGTCTCTTCAATACACTTCAGAAGATTATTTATTGATGTAGCTTCTTCATTTTTGAGATTGTGGAAGGTTCAAGGCAAAAAAAATAAATTTTGAGACAGTAGAATGAACATGCACTGAGATATGGAGCTACAAAAACATAGGGAAGTAGTAGTAGTAGGCTTTTTCTAGTCTGTATCTTCTTTGCATGTTCTACACATCTTTGTAAAGGGTTGATTACTTCCTTCCTTGCTTTGGAGATTCTCCACAACTGTTTGTATGAAATTATGATGCACTGTTTGGAACCGTTAGTGTAGTAATGAATGTTACTGGGGTTTTTTCCCAACATCAAACCGTTATTTTAACATCTCGACACGTGTTTCGATCACCAAGTGATCATCTTTAAGAGGAAGATCAAATTAAACATACTTACAATGTTATCCTTACTTAAACCGTAGGTATCTCTTCTAGGTACTTGCGCACAATGTGTCCTTATTGTAATAGTCAGGTAAATCTATTAATTAAATATTATTTTTACAAGCTATATAGTATACTATTAGGTATTGGTCCACCATCGGTATTCATATCATTATGTTTACTTATTTCTACACTCTCATAGGCATCTAGACGTGTTCCTTGTATCTTAATTCAATAGATCTTTTTGTCTGTCCATAATATTTTGCATCGCAGTCCTTACATTCAATTTCGTAAATTCCAGACTTTTCCGAATTCTCGACTTTGTCTTTTGGATTTCCTGAAAGGCTCTTGAAAATCTTGTTAAAGTTCTTCGTGTATTGGTGGTATGGAACTGAGATATTTATATGTTTATATATGTTTGTATGAAGATGAAGAAATGAAAGCTGATAATCAAACGAATTCAATATTATCTTTTTTCTCTAGGAGCAATAAAACTTCAATAAACCACTGCAACAACTTTTTCGCATCAGCGTTGTCAGCGTATAGGAAACAAAAAGAACATTCTCCAATAAATCTCCGAGCAAAAAAAGGCGTACTAAATTTCCCGAGATAAATGATAATCCTTGAATATGTCAAAGCACCCACCAGCCGAAAATCTGCCGTGAACTCAAGTTCATTGTTTGAAAGATTTGGGAGTGGTCGATGTGGTCAGTTTTATTGCCACGATAGCTTCTACGTGTCGGCAGTTTAAAATGATAACCTTCTTGTTAATTAGACTGTGATTCAGGTCGACTTCCGTTTCAGTGCGTTATAACAATAGTGACCTCTAGGAGCTGAAATACTTGTGGGCGTTTAAAGTATACAAGGCGACTCGATATGTACTATAACGAAACAGCATTTATGTTTAACGTCAGTTTGACGCTACTGCTTCAAATGAGTACGAAATAATTGTAATAATAATGACAACAAATTTTTTACACGAAACATACGATATACGATATGATAATGAACAGGAAAAAGTTTAAATAATTAGCTCAAATAACATGTATCACACATATTGAAAAAAGAATGGAAGAACAAGAGAAAAGCAATCTATATAGACATCCCACATTATGTCCAGAATAAGATTTGTACAGGGAGTTTAATTTGACATTGATAATACAACATGAGACCTTGAGGTCACAGAAAAAAACTCTGAATTCATTAAAGTTAAATAACCATTATAATAGAAAAAGTGTGATTTTTGAGTGCCATTCACTGTTTTTCCAAATCAATAATCTAGCACACAGAGTTACCTACTTTTGAGTAAGGACGTCATGAACAGTATTGCGTATTTAGTTTCGAATTTCCGGGATAATTTTGCTGACATAATTCCAGAAATATCAGTGCAAAAAGAAGTACTGAAATTTGAATGTTATGGGAGATCAGTTATAGTTGACATTTACATTTACGAGTATATGCTTGATAGTTCGTACTGAAACCTCTGACTTAGAGTGAATCCCTTGGAAATACTTTCCAAACACCAGAACAAAATACGGTCTCTCGACGCGCGTTTCGCTAACCAAGTTAGCGTCCTCAGGAGATCGTTATGACTAAATTTTACTACTATGTTTTCAAATGCTAGTGGCTTACGTAAGGTTAGGTAAGATCCAAGGTAAGTGTGTCTATTCGACATTCCACTTCAACCCACTTCAAGGTTCATCGTGGCTAACACCTATTCACACTCGACCAAATAAACCCAGCTTCTTAACGAAGCCGATTAGTTTGTATGGAGAGTGGTCTTTTAGGTCAGATGGTAAGAGTATGGCCCTGCCGAACTCTAAAAACCTGATTCGGTGTCCAGCGGAGCAGGCCCAAAGTATGTACCCTGCTGTTTCATCATTTTCCAAATAGAGGTGACACACACTGTCTTCCGACAGTCCAAGTCTCTGCATGTGTTGATTCAAATGACAGTGACCCGTAAGTAGGCCTGTTAGACATCGTAGTTCATCCCTACTGTAGTCCAACAACTGTTTGGTATCAAGCTTCGAAGAGTGAATAAATGCCTTGGAGTGAGCCAATCCTGAAAGATTCTGCCAGAAGTTCATAAATCTTCTTGCCATCCAGGTGTTCAATCTTTGTTTGGCAAAGCCTAGAGCGATGCCAATGACAGGTTTTGTTCCGATGAAGCTGCTTGCAGCACCTTCCTGTACAAGGGAATCAGCAGCCTCATTGCCTTCCTGGCCAGTATGGCAAGAAATCCAGACCAGAGATAATCTGTTGAGTCTTCCTATCGAGAAGAGTTGTTTTTGGCAATTTGCTTCCAATTTAAATGTAGCTCGGTAGGATCCAAGAGCTTCCAACCTCCGCTTGACTGTCCGAGAATATTTTTATTGACTTGTGTATGAGGTTGGATTCTTCCAATCTCTCCGCACACAATTCAACAGCGTGAATTTCCGCTTTAAATACAGTGGCATGGGTTTCTAGGCAGGTTGATATCTCTGTTCTCAGGTCTGCGAGTGAAAACACCTGCACCAGAACCGGAAAGTGTTTTTGATCCATCTGTGAATCAACAACAACAATCACGGTGGATTCACTCCTCTCTACTCGGGAACAGTACTTTATAAGGCAGTTTGTAGTTGGAGGTATAAAGTCAGAGGTCATTTCCAGAATGCTGTGACTTTCAGTGTCAACCAGCAGTCTGTTGTACTGTTGGAATTTGCACAAGTCTATATGCAGTCCATCCAGCCCCTCTCTCCAGAAAAATGTGGAGAGGGGGTAAATCTAGAAGGATTTCCATAGCCACTGACGGTGTGGTACTGATGACACCACTAATGGACAGACAAGCCTGTGTCTGGAAGCCATAAAGCTTCGCCTGGGCCGTTTTCTGTAAAGCCGTCGGCCACCAGGCAATTGCATCATTAGTGATCATGGGTCTGACAATCATCACATAAATCCAATGAATTTGTTTGGGACTTAAACCCCAAGTTTCACCACAAATCCTTCGACATGTTCATGAGGACATTCTGGCTTTTTGTGAAACTTTTTCCAAGTGAGCGTTCCAGGTGAGTTTTTTATCAAAGACAATGCCAAAATACTTCACCTCCGTTCCAAATGGAATGACCCCACCATTGAGGAAAAGTGGCGTTAAATCGTCCAATGTTCTCCTCTTGGTGAAGGGGATTATCACAGTTTTCCTGGAGTTGACACACATCTGCTCCCTCAGGCTCCAACTGTGAACAACGTCCATCGTGCTTTGGAGGATATTACAAGCTATCCTTCCCGACGTGGCCCTTGTCAAGATGACAAGGTCATCTGCATAGACTTGCAGATCTACTTCTTTCTGTCGAGGGCATCAAGCAGACTATTCATCAGGAGCGACCACAAAATGGGAGATAGTACCCCACCTCGAGGGCCTCGCCTTATAGAGTCGTAGTTGCAGTTCTGTTTACCAGAATGGCATAGATTCAGCCAGTTATGATCGATTCTATACCTTTCCTAGCCAGAGACGATCCTATCTTCATCTTCAAAAAAATCAACTATTAACCTCTTTAATTATAGCAAAAAACACCTTTGACGAAATTGGCCACGCACACATTTTTTTTAATTGAATTAGTCCTCTGTTTTTCATCTTCATAAAAATGTAAAATAATCAGACCATCATATAAGTCTTCTGAATCAGTATGGCATTTGTACATTAATAAATTATATGAGTGCACGTATACATCAGTGGAATTGTCGCCAAATAGGCGTATGATATAAAAAAGTGAAATTAGTTTACAACTCAACCGTCTTTCTAAGCCCCATGGTTTTTAATTCTCCCATGCCGACTCCTCATCTTGGCCAGACGGTATATATACATATCGTTTTTTTACGCTAATTGCTATTGCTATTTCAGAAACGTTAGGACCTAGGTACGAGGTCATGTGAATTAAACAAACGTTTTCAATTTTGGAAAACTAGGATAATTTTTTTTTCAGATCGTTTCTCAGATTGTTATGGAAATATCCGCCAAACTCTGAAATTGTCGAATTCTGATTTTTGTCTCTACCACCTCCATTTGGAACGATATGAAAAAAGGCAAAAGAACTTTCAATACCATTCTATATTTGTTATATTTTAATGAAAATCAATTCGCTTGGTGACGTTTCGGTCACTAGGTTTCATCATCAACTTCATTTTTTCACATACGAACAGAGCAGAATATTTCATTGCAGTGTCTACAAAAATCGATGGAAAAAATTTGAGGTTTGTATTCGAAAAAATAAAGTTGATGATGAAATATAATGAACGAAACGTTGCATTGCAAATTAGTTCATATCAAGTCATAGAAAATATGAAACAGTGTTGAAAATTCGATCTGAAAAGAGATTATTTTAGTTTCCCAAAATAGGAAACTTTTATCCAATCAAACGACTTTGTATATCTTACCGTTTCCGAAGTATAGTGGTATCAGTTAAGAAAACGGACTGTATATACTTCATTTAATTCATATTTCATATCATGTAAGTATTTCCAGAATGGAAAAATAGAGTAGTCACATTGTTGAATTTGTTTCAGTAATCATACCTCATACTTAGAAATCATAATGCTGTAAATTATGCACTAAAGAAAATAACGCCGACCGCCACTGGTAGCCATAAACCAATTATGACGTGGCGAAGAGCGCGCTCAGTTCGACCGACATTTCGCGGCCATTCTACAGGCATCTGTGGAATTCCGAAGAATTTTCCAACGCCTTCGATTGCCAAATATAAGCGTCATCCACTCTCCCATCGACATAGTTAAGTGGAAGTTACAGTGCGGTACGCGAAGCGATCTAGTAAGGCGATATGAATTCGAATAAAAGTTGAAGTTTTAGTTGAAGTTTTTGTTGATAATTGTTGAATTAGAAGTTAAGTTTGATAATTGTTCAGTGTGGTCAATTATTGGTCAATCCACGAGGAAAAACATAACAATTACTTTGACCAAATGAATGCTCCATGTTTCCAAAATTCAGTTTGATTAGGTACTTTCTCGTAACTTTAACTAGATTCAGAACAAAGAAGTTAATTGAACTTGCTTTAATGAAACTTATAATTAAGGAAATAAATAAATATGGGGTTTCACTAGAAATATTATAATCAATTACCACTTAGTGGTAATAGGAGGGAGCTGCGTGAGATACTGGAGCTGATAGGCTGGAGTAAGACACAGCTGGGGCAGCGGAGTAGCCCACTTTAGCTACAGCAGGGTATGCCACCTTGGCAAAAGCTGGGGCAGCGTAGCTGTGAGGAGCACTATAAGACACTGGGGCAGCTACTTTGGCATAAACTGGTGCAACGGCTTTGACTGAAACTGCGTTTGGTTCTTTGTGAACGACAGCATTGAAACCATTGTGAGGATCAGCGGTATATTCCACAACACGTCTGGAACCGTCAGCTTCGACGACAGAGTAGCTGCCTTTCACGAGGTCTCCATCTCTGGATTCTTGGTGGCTCTTAACATCCCCATTGTGTGGATCGTTCACTTCATATCCAAATTGGTAGTGGGCTGGGGCATATTCTTCGGCTACGACTTTCTTAACTACTGGAGCAGCGTAGGCTAGTGGAGCAGAAACTTTGTAGGCGGGGGCGGCATAAGCTGGAGCAGCTACTTTGGCATAAATTGGAGAGGAAACGTGGGATGCAACTGGAGCCGATACACTGGAGTATGAGACTGAAGCGGAATCGGAGTAGGCTGGGTGAGCGTCGTAACCAATTACTCCGGCATGAGTAGCCGATGCAAGTGCGATTAGTACAATGAACTGAAAAGACAAACGGTGTTAGGGAGCTCATTTTTTCAACAAATAGAATTGATTAATAAGATTAGAGTTGTGGAGTTGTGAACGTGAAAACAAAATCGGAAACCTGTAAACGGCCAGTAACGAAAATTTGTAAATTGATCAGTGGTACATATTCTTAACGAAACTGGATTGAAGAATACGTCAAATGCAGTGCTTTCATCGCGAGGGGGATAATATTATTGCTTTTGGTTGATTTTGATTACTTGGTATGACTGAATATTTTTTAATGACATCGCACCTTGAAAACAAAAGTGGCATTATACTAAAATGAGCAATATTGAGTTTCAACGACATTTAGATTCCTTGAAAGAAAGCGCTTTTATTGCAAAAACGACATTTTATCTTAGTTTGATATCAAAAATCGTCGTCGCCATTTTTATATTCGTGAAAATGTATTGAAACTCTGGGAGCTCAATAACTTTGACAACTTCATTAAATTCCCATCAAAACAACTGACTCTTTTGTACTAACAACAAAATATGTCATATTCAGTCTCCTCTGATCTACGGAACAAAGGAAAACAACTCGTTAGTTTTCAAGGCTGCCAACAGTTAACATCCATAGTTCTTTTTCGTATTCTACATATCTCACCTTGAAAACAAATGTGGCATTATATCAAAATGAGCAATATTGAGTTACAACGACATTTAGATTCCTTGAAAGAAAGCGCTTTTATTGCAAAAACGATATTTTATCTTAGTTTGAATACTTTTTCCTAGAGGCCGCTAGTGTCGATTTGAACTTTTGCGTAAATGACGAAGAATTCATTCATAAGGTTGAAGACAAGCATTTGGAGTGGATACACGCTGCGGCGAGTAAAAAAGTGGCATTTTATGTATAGTGTTGTTTTAAGCGTAATTCAAACTGATATTTTTGCTGAAGTAATAACTACAAAAAATGGCATTTTAAGTATAGTGTCGCTTATTTAGTTAAAGTAATATTGAAAGAAATTTTCTGATGAACAAAAAAATGACATTTTATGTATAGTGTCGCTTATTTAGTTAATTGTACACTAAAATATTATTTTTGATGAATTTAAAAATGTAATTTTTTGTTTAGT